CCCACCCCCCCCACCCCCCAACCCGAGAAATTGCTTGGGAACATCCAAGGAGCAGGACAGTAAAATGCCAAATGTTTTTCAAAGGACTAAGTATCTCTCTGTTCCTGTTAACTGCCCCCTATTTGTGTGCTTATGTTGTTTGTTACAGAAAACTGCTGAGTATCAGAATTTGCTTTTTCCATTTTTTTTATTTGGTGCAGTTGACTTTCATCTCCTAAGGAAGCAAAAAATCAGTAGGACTATAATAACTGTACCTTATGTATCTCTGAACGGGGCGCTGCTATTGCCTGTCTGGCTGAAAGGTCCTATAGCCCAGAATATCTAACAGGCATTTTTGAAATAACCTGTGTAATGTTATGTCACATTAGAATCAATAGTAGTACATTATTGTAAAAATGCAAGACAAGGTTTATAGGGAAAAGAAATATCTTTCATTTAGGCAACTGTTTGTAGCTTAAAAAGGGGCCAAAACTATAAATAAGCTTTTGAGCACACAAGCTCTACCTAAGTATTGTCACTAATGATAGTGATTTTTCCTGAGTAGTGATAATACTAATTACTTTGAAGAAAGAGAAAAGGGAAGGAAGGCAGAAGAAATGCCTCTACTTCATAGCTATATTGGTAATATTTACATATGCAGTTCTTACCTCCAAAACTTTTTTGCTGTAATGTTAAATCATGGAGTCGCAAAAGACTGTCAGTGCATTTAGGGAGTGATAAGTTTGTAGGCAGAAAACAAGTGGACTAAAATACTGTAGCACCAAGTGCGGATTTATATTTCAGCAAGCTGCAATGATCTGCATGATCTAACCCAGTATCAGTCTGTATTTGGGTGCGCAGAATGTCTGCCTGACTCAGCAGTCATTAGCAGCTAAGCCACAAGCATCGTGTAAATATCAGCACAATAAACTTACACCAGCTACGGTGTTCAGGTGCCCTTTTTGTTTCAGCCATACCCCACTCTTAAGTATATGTAGTTCTACATTCACTCTTCACTCTACGTGCAACACAACACCCTGAGAGAGCAGTAGAGTTTGTAAACCCATCTCAAAGGCCAAAGAGATGAGGGTGAATTAGTGCACAATTCTGTGTCTGTTGTTTCCATGAAAAACCCCCCAAGATGATAAACATCATTACTAAATATCTGAGTATCTAAAGTTATTCTAAATAATCTCATAGTCTGCATAGCTGTAGTAAGGTGATTTCTTGGATACACACCGCCCCCCCAACATGAAGAAAATAATACTTGAGCTAATCTACTACTTTCGAAAAAGAAGACATTAGCATTAGGCAGAAAGATGCTGAACAGCAGTGCTTGGGAAGGAAAAGCTAAGTACCCCAGCTTTGCTGTGAAATTTCAGGAATCTTCCTTCTAGCCTTGACTGCCAGACTGATGCTGAAGAGAAGCTTAAACATCCTCCCTCCCTTGTGCATATTATTACATGCCTCTGGAACTTTTTTCTTCTGCTCTGTTATTCTCTTTCTTTGTAAGCTTTCACGAAAAGAAAGGGAATAGATTATAATAATATTGTAGCACCAATGCTATTGTGTTTGCAGTAGCCTTAGCCCAAGATAATGATTTGATTAGCATGGCTTTTTCACTTACCGGAATTAGAGACACATGGATTTTCCTGGGTTTTCTGTGCTTTCAGGATAATTTTTTTTTCCACCTTCTTTCTTCAGCTGTATATCTTTGGAGAGAAGTTGGAGCTTTAAAATAGGTGTAGATCCTTCAGTAATAGCCAAGGGCAAAAAATCGGTGCAATGAGTCATCACAGTCACTTCTGCAGATATTTGTAATCTCTAAGTCCTGTGCAATGCATTTGTTCAAAAGGGCCATTGTTTCTTAAATCACTGATGATAGTTCCTCTAAATTTAAGGGTTGGGTTTTTTTTTTCCCCTGCAATGTCGTTGCTATAAATGAGATTTGACATTTCCAGTTTTGATATTTGAATGGCCTCAAGGAGGGTTTGAAAAATTTGACACACAGAATATGAAACGTTTAACGGGAGTATTAAAGATAAACTAGTAGTTCATAGTGCAGTGAAGAAGCAGAGTGATTGAGTGGATTCTAGCAATCCAAAGAATTTTAATGGTGTTGAATTGCCTACCAAAAAAAGTTTTATTGCTTTAATTAAGTTGTTGATAGAGGTGTATTTTCTGAAATATTAAAACTTTTCCTCCTTTTCTTTTATAGCTTCTTTTGCGTCTAGCTATATAATACCTAGAAGTTGTGTATGGTGGTAGTAATAATAACAGATAAGCAGAGCTATTCCCTTTGCCAGAGAGTGTAAAATCTTGATCCCGCTGAGGTTAGTGAGAATTTTGCTCTCAGCCTCAGGCCTTGAATCAAAAAAAGCACCGTTTAGTACAGCTGGTTTTGAGTTTTCTAACAGAAGCAATTATTGTAACTACTCAGGGACATCTATATCATGCTTGGAATCTTACAGGTTGTTTAGAGGAGGGGAAAAAAGATCCTTTTCTGAGTCACTACAAAAATGAAACCAAATCTTTTTGATATAGAGCTTTGTTCATTCCCCTTTATGCTTTGGTCCGTTTTGCAGCAAGGCTTGGTGTCGTTCATATATTTGATGTTTGACTCATAAAATTTTTAATCTTCTTAGTAGAAGGAAAAGATAAAATTCTTTTTGGCTTACAAAGTAGAAGTAGTTTCAGTTGTCTCTGTTGCTAGAATTTGATTGTGGTCTGTTAAACTTATTGCTGCTAATTTTCTATTTCTAAATGTATATTCTTTAATGTGAAAATAATTATTTTCACACACTCAAAGCACTACCCAGAGAGAGTGAGTAATATCCACCCAGATTTCATTCCCTGTGCTTCTGATCTATGTTAATTTTCTAGTTGATGGACTTTTGAAAATTATTACATTGTTTTGAATATGTGAATGATTTCCAGCTTATTTCTTTGCTTCGATAATTGTAAAGGAGACTTCAATTTTGTGGTCTTGAATTTCAGTTTTGCCGATCTTATTCATGCTGATGGTTTATCACAGCAATGTGTCTTCTCTCTAACACAGATAATAGTAAATATAGCTCTGGCTTGAGGAAAGCTGTGTTTTGTTTTGTTTTGTTTTTGTCTCTGTAGAAATACTGCAGCACAGTCCAGCTTGATTCTGGAATAGACTACAGGAAACGAGTGCTTCCTGCTGCTGGAAAACTTTACTACCTGTAAGTTTATCTATGATATAGTATTTGCCCTCTTTTTCCTTCTTATTAGCCAATAATTTCCTAGTCAACAGGAAATGAAAAATGTATAGTAGAATTAGCAGAGTGTGACTTTTCCTTTCTTTGCCTTCTGGTCCATTTTGTTCAGCAAACCGCCTTCCATTATGCCTTGATATTAACTTCATTAAACTACATTTTCAGTATCCGCACTAGCATCATTTATAATGTGTGACTGAATAAAAACTAATTAGATTTTTTTGGGGAGGTGTGGTGTTTGGAGAACTGAAGTGACAGATGGTTAGAAAGTAATGAATATCCTCTTGTAAGAGATTGCACAATTCTCTTATAATAGAAGAACATCCTTATTGTATTTAAGTAATTAAGTATTTATAGAAATCCAAAGACAAGGATTCATTTAATGTTGGGTGTTTCCAGTGCTGTGGATTAAAAAAAAAACCCAACACCCTCCTATTTTGACAGATTGTTTCTGTTTATCACGACAAAATTTCTTTAGCACTTTATTCTATATTTGCAAATAAATACATTTAAAAATACGTTCAGAGTTTTGCTTATGGTTGCAGCATATATATGCCTAATAGAAACGTCCTCTCTTTTTTTTTTAAATACTTTGAAACCTTTGCATTGCACACATTTTTCTAGCTCCTGTTTGCTCTTATAGTATTATTTAATCAATGACACCCTGAGCAAGGCAGGCAACAGTAACTTAAAATGAGATGTATAACCATTGTGTCTTTCAACCCAACATACAATTTTGATTTAAAAATCATGTTTCTGTTAAGAAAGGTGCAGTGCTTTCATCGATGTGACAGGTATTTGAAATGAAGTATGTCTATATCACTTTATAATGAAGTTAGAAATTGTAGTTGTTTGTCTGGAAGGAGGAGAACTGCTTAGTAGAATTACGACAGGTAACTCTTCCTGCTTCTGGAATTAAATGGCAGATTTTTTCATGTGGAAAACAGGTCCAAGGCAGGTTCTGTCTTCAAAGTGTGACTGTATGAACCCAAGAAAAGTAACCCTTGTTCTATATTCTTGCCTGGCTCCGCTTTCTTTAAGTTTTGTGGTGTCTGCTTGGAAGTACTGTTTGGAGCTGCCACTATTATCTCAATGTTGCTCACTGTGGCTCTTTTTCTGATGTCTGCATAGCTGTCCCTGCTTACGCCTCTGCTTATTGTGCCCGCTGCACTCTGTGACTTTGTTTGATAATTGTGGGGAGCACCTACCATATTCTTCTCTCCCTGTCCATACTCTGAAGAAAGGAAGAGCATGTATGTGGTTTCTAGCACATAACGGGCTAAACATGGTGCCTATGGCATCAGCTCTCGGAGGAGAAGAATACAAACAAGTCCCAGGAGTAGTACCCAGCTGAAATATTTCACGGTGTTCTGCTGTAAAATTTGTGATCAAGTGAATGGCCGAGATTGGTGATAAGTCTGTCTCATGTCTCTCATTGGAAGGAAGTTGGCTACCTCTAGAACTTCTTGTGCAAATCACTAGGAAGCAGTGAGAGGAAAAAACCCAAAATAATCCAGTACCTGCCCATGGAAATAAGATACTTATTTCATCGTCCTTTCTTTTTCTGAGGGTATCTCATTCATTCTATTCAAACATGTTCATTGGAGCTTTCAACCCTGCAGAACTACCTTAGTATGTGTTTGGGGTTTTTTTATTTGTTTGTTTTAAAATTAGGTACTATACAGAATTTTGCTATGGATTTTTGAAATTTAGTCAGCAGTCTTGCCCCCAAAAGAAAATGTTCTTTTCCAACATGTTTACATTCCCCTATTAATGATCATAGTATCATCATCACATTTTAAAAAAAATCATCTTGTTGCTTCATAATTTGTGTAGTCTTCATTTAAAATATGCAAGTGAAGGTTGCTTAAAGCCGCTACACTGATTGCTTTCAGATGAGTATGAAACACAATTACAAGATTCCTGATCAAAGCAACTTCCTTGATCTCAGTCACATGTGTCTATTTTCAAAACAAACTTTTGTGGCAATTAGGTGTGAATATCCACCTAGGCATCATATTCAGCTGTTTCTTCTTGTAGCCTTTACATCAAACTTTTTGATAGTTGTATGCATAGACATATGCACACTCTGATATACATGGAATCTTTCCCCCCTTTTATGGCTGCTTTTTTCTGCTTTTGTCTGTTCTTGTTCATTTTTCATTTTGTCAGAGGAAAGCAGCACACAAATACCAATGTTGAGAGAACCTTCTTCTTTTGAAGTTACAATTTTATGTATATCTCCTATTCAGAAAAGTTTTTTTTAAAGTGTTTGAAATGGCACTTGCAGAAGTTTGTGGGTTTTTTTTCCCAAATTCTTTGTATCTACAACATTTGCTATTGTTAAGCTTGAGCTAAAAAGTAGTTACTTCAGTTCTGCTGTTAACATTTTTAAGGTGCTTAAGGCCTAATGAACAGGAAAGTAATTGTGTAACATGCTGAACATCACTTGTTCTTGAGAGGAGGCCTAGAACTGCGTGAAGCAATGCAACTTGAGTGCATCCATGATCTCTAAAAGTAGACTTTTCACACTAAATGAGATTACATAAACATCAGTGAAGCGTTCTATATCCTAGTTCTAGTTTATTGTCTACTGTAGCATTAGTTTATATTCTCATCTTCCAAACTAGCTGAGAAAAAACAAACAGCTAGGAATATTATCTGTGTTCTTTAAGAATGAAACACAGGAAGGCTGGCCCTCTAACCCATTCAAATGACAAAAAATACTTTCTGATCAGACTGACTTATAATTCTTGTGGCAACCATAAGATGTATATAAACTTTACTTCAGCTCTCAGCCCAGATATTTTGCATTTTTCCTGTCTGTGGTTGATCTTTTCCCAAATAGTATCTGGGACAGAGCGGGGAAAGTGATAAAGTTACTAATGCAGAGATAATGCTGATATTTTGAATTTCATAGTTTAATTTTGGAAAGTGTTTGATCAATACAATCAGTTGACTTGATTTCCCCCCACACCAGAAAGCGGCTCCTATATTTAATTTCAGAGTCCCCTCTCAGAAATTTCAAAGGATACTTGGTTAGGTGCTTGACTGCCTTGCCTTGTCTATTTGCTCTTATTTTGCATGCAAGATAGAGCCAGAAGCCTTTTTTCTCATTGTGTACACATAGTGTTAATGGATCTGCTCTGCCTGTATTGCCTCATTACTGGAAACAGCTCAAAACACAGAAGTCTTTCAGTGTATGCAAATAAGGCAGAATCATCTACCTGAGAGTTAATATTCTCTACTTTTAAGTGTATTCTAAATCTAATGTTTGTATTTAGAGCATAACATCCAGTTCTCTCTTTTTATGGGCAAAAAGCTAAGCAGGCTCAGGCAGCTGTTTGATGTTGGCTTCAAGTGTTATTAATTTCATATTCTATTATTCTTTTCACTGTAGCACAAGTGAAGCTGATGTGGAGGCTGTCATGGATAAGTTGTTTGATGAGCTGGCTCAGAAACAAAATGATTGTACGTAAGTTAATTTCTCTTGAAAGAGAATACATTTAGAACACAATGCCCAATCTCCACTGACCAATTAATAAGTTCCATTGCTGTATATGGGTTGATGCCACACTCAAGTGGCAGTCATTGTATCAGCATTTTGTCTAATTTATGTGTTGAATCATGTGCTATTATTCATCAAGCTATGCATTTCCTATCTGTAAGAGATGAATTTTATAGTAATTATCCAGAGAAGATTGAGTCTTTGTTCATGTTCCCATAGTAACTAGACCAAGGATTCTAAAAGTGCAAGGCAGAGAGCTGAGGCTGAATAAAGCGTGTGGAACCATTGCAGACTTCACGTTTGAAGAGCTGTGTGACAGAGTGAGTACTGAGTCAAATCTAGATTGTTAATGCTCAGACTTTTCACAGTTTAAAAAAAAAAAAAAACAACAAAACAAAACAACAAACAAATCCAAAACACAAAACCTCGCTGTTTTCCCAAGTCATACTAAATTAAAAGGGCTCCTTTTAACATGGCAGAAAGATTTTGAATTTAACAGGAAAAAACCCCAACTCTCCCCAAAAGAACAATAATAATTCTGTTTTTAGTAATACAGTAAATTCACTCTTAAGTATATCACAGATTGTCTTAAAAAATCCTAATACAGTATGTGCCTGGGCTAACATCATTACTGGAATTTTTTACATACCAATATGCAAACAGCGTTCAAATACTGTTTCTAAAATCTGGATTTTAAGCTGGTGCTCAAGCAAAAGTGTAGTAATCTTGGCACCACTAGAGTAAAGCTGTTGTTGCATGCCTTAGTTGTGACTAGCTGTACAAGGGCTGTTTAGTCCCCAGCCCTCTCAAAAATTGCCAAATTCTGCTAAATGCTGCCAAATTCTCTGCTAAACACATGGGGTGTGATTCCTGAAAATCTCTCTTTGTGTATCACCTCCAGTGGGTTTGAAGACAGTCACCCTAGAAGTTGTGTTGTACTTCAGTGGCACCTCTGCTGACACCTGTAGTTATTGTTAAATGTTCATAACTTTAATCTGGGCCGATAGCACCTTTGATTCAGGATGCTGACCGGTCTTTTGGTTATAACACTATGTTTTCACTTCCTTGCATCTAGCAAGTTGATAACTATTTGGACAGGAATGTCACTGGTTATGTTTCAGGCTGTAGGTTTTAGGCTTTGTTGGTGTTTAGTCTCAGACAAAACTGGTTAGCCATGTGTGAGAATGGAGGTATGTTATGGGTAGAATGGCTTACTTTTTGCTAAAATTTTGGGACTTTTTCTTCATTGTGCCTCTTAGTGCATCAGGAAACAATGCAGTCAGCAAACGCTTGTAAAATTCCTTACTCCAGTGAATGCCTTGTGTACTTATGTGAGATAATAAATTGCTTGTAAGGAGAAGTGCTCTAGTAGCTCATGTGTCAGTGGCCGCTACTTTGGGTCTGAAGGTTCTAATCCTGTTGAAGAATTATGTGGGGTTCAGACCATCGTGGCATAATGGAGCTGAGGTCCTTGGTTTGCGCTCAGAACAAGTAAAGAAAATCCTCATGAAACGTTAAACGTTCTTTAACAGCATCGTTCTTAACGTTGATCACCCAGGACTTGGGCAGTCATGCTGTCTCAATTCAGATACCTTCTGCAGATGTGTTATGGTAGTCTCCAATAGAATAATCACCTGCTTAAAACAAAAACAACATGGCAGACAATAAATGTTTTTCTTTAACAGCTTCTCCAATCATCACTTATTTTCTTTGTGTATGCCTTTGTTTGTTTCTACCTTTAATTGCTATATACAATTATTTATTTTGCCGTGACTTTTGTCTTCAGATCATTGATGTACCTACATGAATATTACATTACTGTGTTGGTAAGGTGGTATCACTGTGCTCACTTAATAGGTAGAGAGCTGTAATCATGAACTTTGGAATTATCCATTAAGTTCGGATGAATGGCTTCAGTTGCCTCGAGGATTTTTTTTTTTTTTCCATGAATGTAAACTTTTATAGCACTTCATAGCAATAATAAAAAATACCCATTGGTGTAAGCTGCATTAAGACTTTGCCTGCCCTGTTGCTCTGCCCACCCTGTTGCTGTTAAAATCTACTAAAAGGCAAAAGAAAAATTCAGCTGTCAAACCACGAAACCATAAACCATGTTCTTTTTTTATTTGTTTTTTTTTTTTTTCCATGAAATCTTCTAGATTTGCAATGGAAAAATTTATACATGCAGTATCTTTTTTTTAGCAGTCAGAATGGGAAGTCATTCCCACTGATGCCACAGAAGAAATAGGCGGGATCCAGAAGAGTGCCCTGGTGGTTTGTAGCCAAAAAAACCCAGCCAAAGTCAGGAGATAGTCAACATGACAGGAAGTATAAAGTCATTCATATATATCCAAGTAAGCTGGCTAATAGTGGTGTCTGTTTGTGGAGGGATAAAGCAGAAATCTGTAGGAGACATAGCTACAATGTACTGGGTACTGCTTGTGGTATCAAACGGTAGATAGGTTGACAAGTGTCACAAGTGCAACTATTAAGAAAAAGGAAACTAGGAGGCTGAGAAAGATGTAATGAAAAGGAAGATCCGTAGAAGAAAATACTGGATGGGAATTTGTTGGATTTGGCTAGAGTGAATCTGCAGGTTTCTTTGTGGAGGATATGAGGACAAAGTCCCATGGGAAGGCAGATCATGTGAAGGGACACGGGGTGGGGAACCTTCCTAGTTGGAGCCTGTAGCAACCAGGAAGGGCTTAACTGACAGCCCAAGCAAAGCGTCCTAGGTAGATAAATGCAATTCAAAGTTGGGTGTCATAGGGGCCAATGAAACTTATAACAGAATTGAAAACGATTTGCAATTAGTTTTGTATCGGTGATAAGACCTGGTGACAAGCATGGTAAATTGGGAATTTTCATTAATGGGGAAGAATGAGATATAATTGATATTATTGAAACTTCATGGAACAATTCATAAAGTAAGAACGTGGAATCAGTGCTTACAGCCTACTAAAGGACAGAGTGGCTAAAAGAGGTGGGGGACAGTATGCAACATTAAAGACACTGGTTCCTGCCTTAAAGTTAATTAATACAAGGATCTTGAATATGTATCAATCAGTCTACTAATTAACAAACCCAAGAGGGTAGTACTCATAGGGGTCTGTTGCAAATGGAGAATGAGGTGTGCCGCTTCTTGAGCACTTGGCTATAAAAAGCATATAACGACAAAATACTGTTGTATGGGAAGCTTATGCTGTAGATGAAATGCAGGAAATGGTGAAATGTAATTAGCCTGAAAATTGCAAATGATAATTTTCTAGCGTAAAATGTACTACATCTAGTACAAGGTCGTTTGCTTTGAGCAGCTTTATGGGAGATAACAGAGATGAATTAATCTAGAAATGTAACCAAAAGATACTTCCAAACAGTGAAAGTACATATTTCAGTGTTCAGGAAGAGTGATTTTCAAAAGCAAAAGGGAAGTATGACCAAAACTAACTGGAAAGGGAAGTGTAAACAACAACAAAAAAACCAAGAAGGACTTTTTGAGGAAGAAGATTGTAAAAGTGTGTCCTGTGTCACTTTGAGACAGAATCAAGAAATGTACAATGAATGGCAACTAGTTATGAAGTGCAGGAAAACTAAAGAGAAACTAAAGGTCACGGGCAAATACCATGTCTGCTCAGCTATAAGACTTATTAAGTAAAATGGGAGTTTTGATACAATTTATATTATCTGAATGTTATTGGCTTATACTTATTTGGGGATGGATTAACTTTAGGTAATGCTGTGGAAAAAGGAAAAGGTTTTGCAAAAAATACTTGTTGTAGGTGAAGTAGAGTGAAACACTTGTTTTGCTAAAGGGTAATAAAAAAACTTGCAGTCTGTTAATAGTTAGTATATGTTAAAAATAGCCTGCAAATCCATTTTGAATTGTTGGAGTCCTGGAAAACTAGGCTGAGCTCTCTGACTAGCTTTTTATTTTTGATAAATGTTGGCGTGCAAGGGAAATTCCATGGCACTAGAAGAATGCTATACTATCTGCCAATATTAAAAAATAAATAAGCAAAATCCACACAGTTTTGATGACCGGTATAACTGCAGGCTGTCAGTCAGATTTTGTCCAGCAAGGGTAATGGAGAAGCTGGTTCTGGATTCACACAGTGGATAACTAAAGAATGGACATGAAATTAGTTCCGGTCTCCCTGATTTTGTGGAAAAGGTTGAGTTTTGTGGATGCTGTTCTTACTAAGACATTGACTTTATGCAGTGTCGAGAAAGTATTTGTTAAATGGATTGATAAGTTAGTTAACTAATATACAAAAAGAATTATTACTGAAGGATTGTTGTTGAGTGTAGCATTTCTAATGAGCACATTTTTATACTAAGCCCAGCATAATAGTTTTTTCCCCCAGCAGTTTTGAATGTAACATAAATGCTAATACAAATTTGCTGTAAATACAAAGAGCTCTGTATGTATGGGTTGAGGAGGAGCAGTGAAAATGAGGATGCTGTGTGCAGTTTATTTCTCAGCAGAACTGAGATTTTGGGGAGAAGGGAGAGGGTTTGTTTTGTTTTGGCTTTTTTAAATCTAAGCAAACACAAAATTTTACATCTAGAACTTGGGAACACAAGTCATACCTGCAGGAGGAGGAGACTGTCCTAGGCGTAGTGTCTTGGAAATAGATTTAAACATTGTAATGGACAACAGGAGCTTCTGGTCCAGTCTTAGATCACTTAGACCTAATTTCATCTGGGATGGGTAGGGTAGAAATACATAGGAGGGTAGAAAGAGTATTTTAATTTTGAAAACATCTCAGATTGATGGCAGAATGTTAGGTGTGGTTTTGACATCAGAATTTTAGGAAAGACATTGAAAAACCTGAAGAGGCTGTTGAAAAAGCCGCATATCACTTCAGCTGGAGAATTTGTGCCCTCAGATTACAGACTTACAGTTCAATTTGTTCAGCTTATCAAAGAAAGGACTGGAAGATGATTTTATAATGTACAGCTGTTTTCACAGGAAAAAAAATACAGGTATTAATGGGCTCCTAAATCTAGCAGAAGGTGGCATAATGAAAACCAGAGACTACAGAGAGATTCCAATTTTAAAAAAGGAAGAAAAAGCACCCATTCACACATTTGAACCAGTGAATGAAGTGGGAGAGCCTCCTTGTACTGTGTTTTGGGTCAAAACTGGGTGTCATTTTAGGAAGAGGTGTTTCTGTTTGAGCTAAGTACTAGCTCTTAGGCTTAGCTGTCTCTAAAAATTCAGGAAATTGGAGGCTCTCATGATCTTTTCTGGTCTTAAATTGTGTGAAAGTAGAGACGTGAGAGAGTCGGGGTCCCTGCTGCCTGTTGTCAACTGTCT